CAACTGCTGCCTGCCTGCAGCCCCACAGGGCATGGATGAGGTACAGAACGCTTAAGAGAAGGACGGAGCCCCCCCTCACTGCCCCCCAGCACTGAATCTGAGTGCGTGGGGGGGGGGGGGGGGAGGAGGTTGAAGCCCCACAGGGTGTGGATGAGATATGGGGAGCACCGAGGAACAGTAGGGGAGCCCCCTCAGTGCCCCCAGCACCAAGCCCTGAGCTGCAGCCCCACACCTGCTGCCTCCTTACAGCCCCACAGGTTGGTGGGTGAGCTACGGAGCACTGAGCAGAAGGAGGGGAGCCCCCTCGGTGCCCCCAGCTCTGAGCCCCTGATTGCACCAGAGGGGCTGCAGCCCCACACCTGCCCCAAAACCTGCAGCTGCCGCCTGCCTGCAGCCCCACAGCTGCCCCACAGGACACGGATGAGGTACAGAGCACTGGGCAGAAGGGAGCCCCCCCCCAGTGCCCCCCTGCACTGAGCCCCTGAACACAACAGAAGGGGGGCTGCAGCCCCACAGCTGCCCTCAGCTGCCGCCTGCCTGCAGCCCCACAGCTGCCCCACAGGACACGGATGAGGAGAAGGAGGGGAGCCCCCCCAGTGCCCCACCACTGAGTCTGAGCGCATGGGAGGAACTGCAGCCCCCACCCCAGCCCACAGCTGCTGCCCGCCTGCAGCCCCACAGCTGCCCCACGGGCCGTGGATGAGGTACAGGGAGCGCCGGGAACGAGGGCAGCCCCCCCAGCACCGAGCCCTGAGCCGCAGCCCCACACCTGCCGCCAGCCCCACAGCTGCCATTCGGGGCACGGCTGAGGTACGGGGAGCTGCGAGGGGAGCCGCTCGGCACCCCGGCACCGAGCGCAGGGGGGGAACCGCAGCCCCACAGCCGCCACCTGCGACACGGAGGAGACGCGGGCAGCCCCCCATCCGCCCCCCATCCCGCGGCCCCTCGGCCGTCCCGGAGCCCCGCACCCCCCGCGCTGTCGGCTGGGCTCCGGCCGCGGGGTCACGCGAGGTCTCGGAGCCCCGGGGCTTCGTGCGGCGGCGGCCGAGGCGGGGCCGGGCGGCAGCGCGCAGTGCGCAGGCGGCTGCCGTCCGTGTCCTCAGATGAGCCCGCGCGCCCGCGGGGAGCCGCAGCCTGAATGCGGCCGCGCTGCCGCGCATGCGTCACCGAGCGCGCGCACGTGCCCGCAGCCCCTCGCGATTCTGCTCCCCCCTCCTTCCTTCCATCCCCCTTCTCTCCCTTCCTTCTCTCCCTTCCCTTCTCTCCCCCCGCCCGCCCTCCCCGCCCTGGAGGCCCCGCAGGGCTGCGCCGCCCCCCGGTGCCGCTCCCCGCCCGCATCGCTGAGCCCCGACCCCCCGAACCCCCCATAACAGAGCGAGGCCAGGCGACCGTCTGGGTTGGTTTTTTTTTGTGTTTTTTTTTTTTCATTCACTTTTCCGCATACTTTTTTTTTTTTATTTGTTACAAACATACAATTCTTTAAATATAGACTGTAAAACTCCATTTGCAAAAATCTGCTACGGTAAGGAGTGCTCGCTAGCATGAGGAGTTCGTCACGTCGGGCGTCATCTTTCGCTAGTGGTAAATCCAGCCCTGCCTTCGGCAAACTCCGGCTTTCCCCGGCGCTCCCGAAGCCGCCCCGCCGGCCGCAGAGGAAGGGAATGAGAATCGGCCCCGCCGCCGTGGGAGAGGAGCCGGGAGCCCCGGCAGCCCCCGCTGGGCCGCGTAAAGTGCACGGTTTGCTTTTAGTTTTTTTTTCTTTCTTTCGTTACAAAAATAAGAGGAATAAAACTTTTTTTTTTTTCTTTTTTTTTCTTTTTTTTTTTCTTCTCCTTTCGTCAAGGTTCTCGGGGGGGGAGGTGGGAGGTGGGGGTGGGAGCGGCGGGTCGCTCTCTCAGCAGATATCGCGCGGCCGCGCCCGGCTCTCCTCGCTCGCTGTTCCGCCGTCGCGGCTCCTCCTCCGCCCTCCGCCCGTCTCGTCGGCCTCCAGCCGCGCCCGTCGCCTCCTCGCACGACGGGCCGAGCGCCTTCCCACGCGGCGGGCGCAGAGCCGGCAGCAGCGCGGTGCCGCAGCCCCGGGGGGACGCGCGGCCGTCCCCAAAACCTCCCGGCACGGAGCCGCCGTTCCAGCGGCCACCTCCTGCATCCGCGGCAAATATCTGCTGAGAGACGGCCGCCGCGCCGCCCCGCGTACCGTCACCATTCGCTTCGCGGTGCTTTTTCTTTTCTTTTCTTTTCTTTCTTTCTTTCAACTTTTTTTTTTTTTCTATTTTTTTGTTTTTATCTTCTATTTTAAAAGAGAAGCCGGCGAGGCGAGGAGAAGCCGCCCCTCGGCGCGGAGCGGAGCAGCCGGGGGAGCGGAGCGTCTGCGGGCGGCGCTGCTCCGCTACGATGGGAGCCGCGTGCGATGGGAGCCGCGTGCGAGGGCAGCTCCGTACGAAGGACGCTGTGCGGCCGTCCTGCGCCGTCACCCCGCGGCGGCCGGGAGACGCGGGGCCGAAACGCAGCGTTTTCCGTTTTCTCTTGGGAGGGAGCGGGGAAATCGAAGCGGTTTTGATGTCGACGGAGCCGTGGATTTGATTCTCGGGCTGATCCACGCGGGCGGGCGGCCCGGCCGTCTGGGCTCTTTATTTACACGGAGTTTTGGGGCGCTATACAAGATTTACATTTCCGTTTGTACAGCAGATGCTTTGATAGAGTCGCGCTCTCCAAACGTCCCTTCTGGGGGCGACAGAAATCTGGAAGCTCCACAAACCCGGGGTTCCCCTTCCGGCTAAAAGCCTTTCGCCCGTCTCCTACAGAATCCAAGCCACCGAAAAAAGAAACCAAAAACCAAAAACCAAAAACCAACCAAGCCAAACAACCACCTCATATCTATACACACATGCGGGGCCGTGTGTGCAGACACAGAAGGAACGGCCGAACCGCCGCGCGGAGCCCGGCTCTGCCTGCAGCGCTGCGCCGGCTGCCATCGGCACGGGGCGCTGAGGCACCCAGGGTGCAGCCGGGCCTCCGCTCGGCCTCTGCTGCCGCAGCTGGGCGCCGCTTCTCTCTTTGCTGCTGCGATTCCTTCCCCCGACGCGCTCTGCTCTCCTCACCGCGTGCCGGAAGCTCGGATGGAGCCGCAGGTTTCCGCATGCAGACGCGGCTCTCGGATGCCGGTGGCTGGAGCCGCCCGTGGCGCCGGGTGGGAGATGTGGGGCCGATGCAGGGCTGATGTGGGGCTGATGTGGGGCCGATGCGGGGCCTTTTGCTGTGGGTTTTGTTGTGGTTTCATGTTTTGGCCTGCGATGTTTTGCCTCCTCCCTTTTCCACGCGGTTCCCACGCGGCGCCACCGCGGAGCTGAGGAAGGCCAGGCGATCTCAGCCAAAAACAACAACAAAAAAAGGAGAAAAAAACCAAGAAGAATATATATATATTTTATATATATATATATATATATATATATAACCCTCTGCAAAAGGAGAGGGACCGCCCGAGCGGAGCAAGGACCGGCGTGGCTCCCAGCAGCAGAAAGTCCGTCAGCACCGAAGCGAGGGGCGGCGGCGCTGCTCACACAGCAGGACATCACCGACAGCTGCCTTACGGGACGAGTTACAGTACAGAACGGCGCCGCGCCGACACACGGGGGCTGCTGCTCCCACAGGGCCTGGAAACGGAGTCCCGGTGCGATGGAGGAGAGTTAAAAACAGCCAGGAGGAAGAGAAGTTCCGGTTAAAAATTCCCTTACAAAGGGGCGACGGAGGGCGGCTGGGGGCGGCCCTGCTGGATGAGCGCCGGCGGCGCCTCACTGCTGCCAATAAATACGGGCGGCCGGGAGGGGATGGAGCCAATAAATTAAAAGGCAGCTGAAATGAGAGGGCGGGCGCGGGGCGACGGAACCGGAGCGACGACGGTCCTACGAGAGCCTGGGAGGCGTCACACAGCAACAGCTGGAACTTTGGAATGAACAGCGGGCTCCCATTCAGTTCAAAGGCAGGAGGACGGCGTGGCTTAAAAAACACCGCTCTGCAGGGCGGGACTGAGCAGATTGCTTCAAAACCGGAGAGAAAAAAAGACCAAAGAGAGTGAAAATCCATTTAATAAGAGAGGAGAGCGCCGGGAGGCCCCGCCGTGCTGCGCGGCGCAGGAGCCGAGCTGGCGGAGCGCCGAGGTGGTCATTAAGAATAATTAAAAATTTAAAAACAAAACAACAAAAAAACAAAAAACCAGGGGAAATGTGGCGGGGCTCACAGCTCCCACAGCCACCACGCATTGAGGTACTGAGGAGATGCATTGAGTTCGTGTTAAAAACCCGCGCTCGGAGGAGGAAGAGGAGGAGGAAGAAGAGGAGGACGGGCTGGGATTTGTGCACCTGAGGCCGTGTGCTTCGTGCCGCCGCCTTCCTGCTGCTCGGCCCTGCGACCCCCGTGGTCAAAAGAAAAAGGGGGAAAAAGCCAAAAAAAGAAAAAAGAAGAGGAAAAAAATGAGACCCGAAGCCAAACGAGAGCGTTCCTTACTGCTCACAGAGCTGCCGGCTTCCCACCTGCTTGTTTGCTTACGGGGTCCGGGTCGGGCGCCTGGAGTTTTGCATCCCGGAAAACAATTCTGCGGAACGGAGCTGGGGGGGGGGATTCAAAAGGGAAATAAAAAGAGACAATGGACGTTGGTCCAGAGACGAAGCCCTGCGTCACATCGCATCGCCTCTCGCGGCCGTGGGCTCCGGTGCGGACGCCGGGATGCTGGTGGGGCGGAGCGGCACGGATAGAGGGACGGGAAGGGAGGGGAGGGGAGCCGGGCGGCCCCGAGGAGCGCGTCGTCCTCGTTGGGAAGCGGGCTGAGGGCCGCGGGCGCTCCGTGCCCGATGGGAGGAGAGGCGCGGGGCTGCGGCGGGGCCGGGCGCTCCAACCGCGTCCGGGGTTTGGGGCTCCCCTTCTCCCGAGGAAGGGAAGGGAAAGGAAGGAGGGGGGGGGGGGGGAAGGGGGGCTCCGGGCGGGGTGGGAGAGGGGGGGGGGCCGGGGCAGACGGATGGATGAATGGATGGATGGGGGGGGATCGGGGGGGGCTCAGTCGTCGTCCACGTCGTCGCCGTCCGAATCGTCGCCGGCGCCGCTGCCGCTGCCCGGTCCGGGCGGCCCCGCGCGGCGGTCGTACAGCTTGTCCCGCTGGCGCTCCTGGATGTCGCGCATCTCGTCGGCGTAGCGGCAGAACGCCCCGCCGAACTTGGCCCAGGCTTTGTAAGGGACGGTGATGGCGTTGCGGTAGGACGGCTTCACCTCGCTCACCCGCAGGAAGACGCCGTACTTATTGCAGCCCACGTCGAAGAAGAAGCGCTTGGAGTCCACGGTGATGGAGGTGCCCTCGGGCAGCTCCCCGTAGAGGCCCCCCCCGCCCGGCCCGCCGCCTCCGGGGCCGCCCAGCTCGTCCTCCTCCCCTCCGTAATCGTCGATCAGCTTCGCCAGCGCGTCGCGGAACTCGATCAGGCCCTGGGCCGGCAGGGCGATGGTCTGCCCGCTCTGCAGCCCCGGGGGGCCGCCGGGGAAACCTCCCGGGCCGCCGGGCCCGCGGTTGACGGTCTGCCGGATGCGCAGGAAGCGGCCGCGCTGGTTCTCCTTCAGGTCCAGGTAATACTTGCGGTTCTCCCGCACCAGGAATTCGCTCTTCAGAGCGCGGCGCGGCCCCGACCCGCCCTCGTCGCCGCCGGGCCCCGCGGCCTGCGCCAGCTGCTCGGGGCTGGACGGCCCCAGCTGCGCGTAGTGCTCGATGAAGTCGCCCAGGTAGTCGCGGAACTCCGCCGCCACGGCCATGGACAGCGTCAGGCGGCTCTTGGACCCGCCGGCGCCCACCTCGGCGATCTTCAGGAAGCGGCCCTTGGCGTTCTGCTTCACGTCCAGGTAGAAGCGCTTGTTCTGGATGTCCAGCCGCTTCGACGCCAGCTCCTGCGTCTCCTGCTCGGGGCCCGCCCCGGCGCCCGGCCCGCCGCCTCCGCCGCCGCCGCCTCCGCCGCCGCCGCCTCGGGGAGCCGCGAAGCCGCCGCCTCCGCCGCCGCCCCCCCCGCTGCCGCTGCCGCTGCCGCCGCGCTCGCTGCCGCTGTCCCCGTCCGCCATCTTGTCCGCCCGCCCGCCCCGCGCCGGCCCTTCCGCGCGCGCCGCCCCGCTTCCGGCGCGCGGCCCCGCGCCCCGCCCCGCCCCTCTGCGACAAGAGGTGACGTCACCGCCGCACTCCGCGCCGCCGCGCGCGGCTCCCCCGCGAGGTCACGTGGGCGGGGAGAGGCTCCGCCCGCCGCGTCCCCGCGCGCCCTCTGCGGTCCCCGCCCGGCCACGCCCCCTCCCGCCCGACCACGCCCCCTCGCACCAGGCCACGCCCCTTCGGTTGGCGGCGACGCCGCGCAGTGCCCGCCCCCGCCGTCAATCACGCCCGTCCGCCGCTCCCATTGGCCGCGTCCGGAGCTGCGGCCTGCGAGCTCGTGACGTCACGGGCGAGCTTGACGTCACCAGTCCCTATGGCTCGGGGCAGCAGGACAGCATGACAGAACGGCCAAGGCTGGAAGGGACCTCGAGGATCGCGGAGCTCCAACCCCCCGCCGCACGCAGGGCCACCAACCTCCACATTCAGCAGCAGCCCGGGCTGCCCAGGGCCCCATCCAACCTGGCCTCCAACCCCTCCAGGGATGGACGGGGCATCGCAGCCTCTCTGGCAGCTGTTCAGCCCCTCCCCGCTCTCACTGCACACAACTTCCCCTGACATCCGACCTCCAGCTGCCCTCCCTCCATCCAAACCGTTTCCCTCGTCCTGCTGCCATCTCCCCTTGCACACAGCTGACTCCCCTCCTGCCCGCAGGCTCCCTTCAGGCACTGCAGGCTGCACTGAGGTCACCCCGCAGCTTCTTTTCTCCATGCTGAACGAGCCCAGCTCCCTCAGCCCGTCTTCGTGGTGGAGGTGCTGCAGCCCCTGCTCATCTCTGCGGCTCCTCTGCCCCCTCTCCAGCAGCTCCCCGTCCTTCCTGTCCTGGGGGCTCCAGCCCTGGACGCAGTGCTGCAGATGGGGCCTCACAGGAGCAGAGCAGAGGGGGACGATCGCCTCCTGTCCCTGCTGCCCCCCCTCTGCTGACGGAGCCCAGGCTCCCGTTTGGTGCCCAGCTGCAATCACACACTGCTGGCTCGCGTTCAGCTTTGCATCCCTCAGGACCCCCGGCTCCGTCCCTGCAGGGCTGCTCTCCAGGAGCTCCATTCTGTGCTCATACCTGCGGCTCCTCCGGCCCAAGTGCCGAACCTCCCCAGGTTCCCCCAGCTCAACCCCTCCGGCCTCCCGAGGTCCCTCTGAACGGCACCCCTTCCTCCCACCGCACCAACTGTTCCCTTGTGCTGCATGAATGACTGCAAGCGGAGGTGTAGGAAAATGAATATAAAACATTTATAAACATTTATAAACAGTGACCTGAGCCTTCCTGCAGTCATCCGGGACCCCACCTGGCAGCCACGACTTCTCAGATAGGATGGAGAGAGGCTCAGCGACCGCCTCATCCAGCTTCTCCAGAGCCCTGGGACGCAGCCGTCCGGCCCATAGGCTTGGACTCATTCAGTCTCCTGAGGCACTCAGGGATGCGCTGTGCCCTTACAGGGGGGATTTCACAGAATCACAGCATCACAGAATTGTAGGGGTTGGAAGGGAGCTCCAGAGCTCATCGAGTCCAACCCCCTGCCAAAGCCGTTCCTACAGCAGTCGCACAGGTCGGCATCCAGGCAGGTCTTGAACATCTCCAGAGCAGGAGACTCCAAACCTCCCTGCAGCCTGTTCCAGTGCTCCGTCACCTCACTGCACAGCCGTTCCTTTGCACATTTGTGCAGAACTTCCTATGCTGCAGTTTCCAGCCGTTTCCCCTCCTCCTGTCTCCACTCACCACTGAAAACAGTCTGGCCTCGCCATTCTGCCCCCACACCTCAGATATTTACAGACCTGGATCAGGTCCCCTCTCAGCCTTCTTTTCTCCATGCTGAACAGACCCAGTTCACTCAGCCTTTCCCCATAGCAGAGATGCTCCAGGCCCTTCACCATCTTGTTGCCCTCCGCTGGACTCTTTCCAAGAGATCCTTGTCTGTTTTGTACTGGGGAGCCCAGAACTGGATGCAGTGCTGCAGATGAGGCCTCACCAGGGCAGAGTAGAGGGGGAGGATCACCTCCTTCGACCTGCTGGCCACGCTCTGTGCAATGCAGCCCAGGATGCCATTGGCCCTCTTGGCCACAAGGGCACACTGCTGGCTCATGGCAACCTGTCCTCCACCAGGACACCCAGGTCCCTCTCCGCAGGGCTCCCCTCCAGCAGCTCATCCCCCAACCTGTTCTGCTGCATGCAATTCTTCCTCCCCAGATCCAAGACTCCACACTTGCTGTTGTTAAACCTCATCCGGTTTCTTGCTGCCCAGCTCTCAGCCTGTCCAGCTCTCATTGAATGGCAGCACGGCCTGCAGCCAATCCTCCCAACTTCGTATCATCACAAACTTGCTGAGGGTGGCCGCCATCCCCTCACTGAGGTCATTGATGAAGATGTTAAACAGGACCAGACCCGGCACCGAGCCCTGAGGAACAGCGCTGCTTCCAGGCCTCCAACTGGGCTCTGCACCACCAACGACCCTCTGCGCTGTGCCAGCAGCCAGGCCTCAACTCACCTCACTGTCCGCTCATCCATCCCACGCTTCCTCAGCTTTGTTATAAGGATGTTGTGGGGGACAGCATCAAAAGCCTTGCTGAAATCAAGGTAGACAACATCCACTGCTCTGCCCCCATCCACCCAGCCAGAGACAACATCACAGAAGGCCACCAGGTTGGTCAGGCACGACCTCCCCCTGGTGAACCCGTGCCGACTGCTCCTCATCACCTCCTTTTCTTCCAGTTGTCTGGAGATGGCATCCAGCATCCCCGTGTTTGTGGCTGTATGGAGGTGTGCGTTTCGCCTGCTGTAACAGAGATGGAGGGGATGGCGTTGACTGGGGAGACCGTGACTGGAGGGCAGCCATTCCCCATCCCTACCCTGCCACCCAGTGCTGCCTGAGGAGGGCAGGGGATTTCGGAGGGGAGGGATGGGGCTGCTGGGGGCAGCGCTGGGACCCGGCCCTCTGTGCTGCCCCGCAGGTGGGCACTGGGCTCTGGAGGGGTTTAGTGCTGCGTGAATGACTGCAAGCGGAGGCGTAGGAAAGTGAATATAAAACCTTTAATAATTTAATGCAGTGTAACCTAATTGAACATCGTGTCAGATAATGGAGCGGTCCAAGATGACGTCGGTGGACAGCCCAGGTTTGGAGGGGCAGCGCTGGGGCCGGTGCCGGTGCCCCTGGAGCACCGCCGCTGCTCTCTGTGCCGCAGGGGCCGGCGAGGAGCCCGGGGCTGCAGGGAGCCTCATTCGCGGGCCGTGGCCGCGCCTCAGCTGCGCCTTCTTTGCGGGCCGCTTTCCGCAGCCGCTCCCGCTGAGGCTGAGCCCGGCCGGCCTCGCCTAGCGCCGCCGTTTCTGCCGCGGAGCGTCCTGGCCCGGGGGCGGCTTCCTCTTCCCGGCCGGGACGCCGTCCTTGCGCTGCTCGCGCCCTCTGCTCCTGCCTTTCCTGGCGCTGCGGGCGGGCGCCGGGCACTCGGCCGGCTCGGTGCCACCCTGGCGGCGGCTGTCCGGCACGCGGCAGGAGGTGCAGCGGGGCGGCAGCGCCAGGCGGGCGAGAAGCACCCGGGGCTGCCTCTGCTTCGCCTCCTCCATCAGGTGCTCGCGGAGCCGAGACTCAGAGGATGCCGGCTGCCCTGAGCACGGCTCCCCGAGGGGCCCGGCGACAGCCTGCGCCTCTCTGCTGAGCTGCCTGCCGCTCGTGGGAAGGTCGGGGGCCGCTCCGATGGCAGGAGAGGTGCTGAGGCTGCTGGGGACGGCTGGCAGTGGCGGCTGGGGGACCTCCGGGCAACTCGACGCTTCTGGAAAAGCAAAACCCCCCCAGAACGATGACGGCAGCCTTCCCACAGCCACTCGGGGCGGACATCCGCCCGCCGCCGCTGCGGCCCCTGCACTCACCAGCGATCCAGGTGAGCAGACTGTCGATGTCCTCCTTGTCCCCTGGAACGGCTGAGCTGGGGGTCCCTTCTGGAGAAGGAAGGAAATCCCCAAGGGTCAGGGCCAGCTTTCCCACAGCCCCTCGGTGCAGACATCCCCGCCTGCTCCGCAGCCCCTCAACTCACCGTTGCTGAGCCACGCCAGCACATCGTCGATCTCCGAGGTGTCGAGCGGGATGCCTGCGTTGGATGTCAGTTCTGGAAAGAGCAAGAAGATCCCCACAGGGGCACTGCCAGCTTTCCCACCCCCCGTCGGCGCGGACGCCCACCCGCCCCCTCTGCAGACCCCACACTCACCGCTGATCCACGGGAGCAGATCAGCAACGTCCTCCGCCACGTCTGCGCTCGCTGTCGCCGCTGGAAAAGCAAGAACGTCCCCAGTGAGGCAATGCCAGCCTTCCCACAGCCGCCCGAGCGGACAGCCTGCCGCCCGCCCCGCAGCCCCCAAACTCACCACCTGAGTCCAGCGCCGCGCCGCTGCAGCCGAGCGGAGCCGCGGTGGGTTGGGGGCACGCGTGGGTGGGCGCCGGGTGCCCCTGGCCCTCCGTGAGCACCACGGCATCTGCAAAGGGCCCCGGCGCCTGCTGCCAGCTGGCGGGCAGGGTGCAGGGCGCGGGGAGCCCCTGCTGCTGCGCTGGAGGTGCCGGCGGAAGGACGCGGCGATGGGGGTCCTGCAGCGGGCAGCCGCCTGCGGGCTGCGGGGGCTGCGCGTGGAACACGGCCCCAGGCCACAGCCCCATCGGCTGCGGGGGCTGCGGTGTCCCTGCCTGCAGGGGATGTCCCCAGCGGTGGGCAGGGGCCGCGGGGGGAGCCGTCCCTGGGTGCAGCCCCCAAGGTGGGAGCTGACGCACAGATGGAGGCGGCCCCCCGGGTGGGAGCTGCGCTCCCTGTCCCCGGACACGGGGCACCCCAGGCCAGACCTGAGGCACCACGGAGGTGACAGCGGGGACGTAGAGGGGTTGCGGTGTCACCAGCGCTGCTGCGTTGCCAAAGGTGGGCTGCATTGCAGCAGGCCGGTGGCGCCACAAACGATCCAAAGAAAGCGGCATCGGGTGTCGGAAGCACCGTCAGCGTCCGTGAAGGGATTCTCTCTGTGGGGAAATGCCCAAATGGGCGCTGGGTGAGATGTGGGGCACTGGGAGCAGCCGGAGGGCCGCAGTGCCAGGAGCAGAGCAGCCTGCTGCCTTACCTGCCAAGGGAGCTCGAGAGTGGCAGCGGGGGGTTCCGTGACCGCTGAGCTCAGCCCCTCTCCCTGAGCTCACAAGAGCTCTCTGTGACACTGTCACAGCACGGCTCTGCGCCTGCCCCGTCCCCAGCACTTGCTGTGGCTGCTCGCTGTGGCCTTCCGTTGTCTCAGTGGAGATGATAAACATGGTGGAAATGAACTTTCTAAGTGTCCGGGTGGCGATGGGACCAAGGGAATGGTTTTAACGTGAAGGGGGGGATTGGGATTCGAGGTCAGGGAAGTTCATCCCAGGGGGAGCTGAGGCCCTGGCACTGCTGCCCGGAGCGGCCGTGGGTGCCCCATCCCTGCGGGTGCACCCGACTCAGCTCCATTGCAGGGAATGGAGACGAAGGCAGGGACGTGGCTGATGGCACTCCGACTCCCGGTGGCATCGCAGGGCTGTGGTGCTTGGACTCTGAAAGCCACCAAACTCGCACTGCTGGCTGCCTCCCTTCACACATCCGCTTGTCACAAAGCACAGGGGCTGGAAGGGAGCTCTGGAGATGCCCGCAGTACAACCTGCCCCCAGAGCAGCTTCCCTGCAGCGCTGGCACAGGAGAGTCTGCCTTGAGCTGGGAGCCCAGCACTCACCCAGTGCTCCACTCGTGCCCAGTGCTTTCTGCGGCCCTCAACAGCCTCCCAGGGCCACCCGTCCTGCCCTGGGCCCCCTGTCATAGAATAATAGAACCATAGAACCATAGAATCGCAAGGTTGGAACCTGCAAGATCATCCTGTGCAACCGCCCTCCCATCACCACTGCACCACCAGCACTAAACCACATCTCGCAGCTCCTCATCCACACTCCTGTTGAACGCTGCCAGGACGGCGACTCCACCACCTCCCTGGGCAGCCGTTCCATGCCTGACTGCTGTCGAGAGAAAAAGCTTTTCCTCATCTGACCCAAACCTCCTCTGCTACAACTTGCGGCCGTTTCCTCGGGTCCCGGTTGTCCCCTGGGAGAAGAGGCCAAACCCCTCCTCACCTCACCCTCCCTTCAGGAAGCTGTGGGGTGCAGTGAGGTCTCCCCTTAGCTGCTCTTCTCCACACTGAACAACCCCAGCTCCCTCAGCCGCTCCTCATCAGCCCTGGCCTCCAGACCCCTCACAGCTTTGCTGCCCTTCTTTCAACTCGCTCCAGGGCCTCGATGTCCTTCCTGCAGTGTGGGCCCAAAACTGGACACAGCACTCGAGGTGCGGCCTCACAGAGCTGAGCGCAGGGGGCGATCGCTGCCCTGCTCCTGGTGCAGGCCAGGCTGCCACTGCCACCACCTCAGCCCCTCCTCCAGAGCCCTGGGTTGCAGCCATCCGGCCCATAGACTCCCATTAATTCAGTCTCATGAGGACAAGGAGGCTGCGGCCGGCTGGGGCTCCTGATGTCACCCACCCGTGTGCCCACAGCACCCATCGCAGCTGTGGGATGGAGGGCTGCACTGCGGGTGCAGCGCTGAGCACACGTCCAGGGAAGGGCAGACAGACAGAAGGGGACGGATGGACTCCTATCTCGGGCCGCGCTGGGACAGGAGGAGGGGAAAACGGCTCCAACTGAAAGGAGGCGGCGCTGGGATGGGGTGTGAGGATGAGGTGCTTTACAATGGGGACGGCCAAACACAGCGCCCACTGCGGGAGGGGACAGAGCAGCCCCTCTCTGCTCCCAGCCCCCAGCTTTGAGGACAGAGACAAGGATAAAGGATAAGGGGCAGCTCACCCCAACACGACCCCCCAGTGCGCCTTTCCATCCTGCACCCCCCCCAACCCCACAGGGCGTTCCTCATCAGCCCCAACCCAATGGAGCACCCATGGGTTGGGGATTCCCCCCCCCCTCTCAGCACCCCAAGGGGTCACCACAGCCTCCCCTGCTCCCCACCCAGCTCTCAGTCGTTGCCCCCCAGCACACACACACAGCAGGCAGGGTTTCCACACACAGTTCTTTTTCTATGTAAGATGGGGGGGACACAGCAGAATGAGCGCTGCGGTGGCTCAGCTTTTGAAGACCAGTTTCCAGGGGTGGGTCTCAACAGGATCCCCCGGGGCTGTCAGGGGGGCTCTCAGTGGGGCAGCTCGTGTGGGATGAGTTTGTAGTGAGCGCCACAGGAGGGGCAGCGCTGCGCCTCCCCTTTGTGCAGCCAGAACCAGATGACGCAGCTGTTGTCCTCTTCACCTGGGGAAAGAGCACAGAGGGTGGGGGGGGAAGCGTGGGGAGAAGGGGGGGCGTGGGGAGGGAATGGGGGGACACTCACAGACGCAGCCCACGATGCGTTTATTGGTGATGGAAGGCACGAGGTTGGGGTCCTCCTTGGTGCCCGCGTAGCGCTTCGGCCGGAACATGCTGTAGGGGTCCTGGGGGGGAGAGAAAAGGGGGTCTGGGGTCAGCGGGATCCCCATCCCCGGCAACGGGATGCCGTCCCGCCCCCACGCCCAGCACCTCGCACTCACCAGGCCTTTGTTCATGGCCTCCAGCACCTTCCGCTCCAGCCCCGTCGCCTGCTCCTCATCCGTGGCGAGGTCGCCTGAGGGACGAGCGGCGGTCAGAGCGGCGGCCCACTCGATTCAGACCCGGACCCGGATCCCGCCCCTCCTCCCGTCCTCACCAGGCGCGGCGAAGCTCCTCACGGGCGCAGCCCGGCCGGTGGCGGCGGGCAGAAGCCGCAGCGCCGCGCCCACCCGCAGTAACCTTGAGGCCATGGCTGCAGCGGCGGCACTCAGCGCTTCCGGCGGCGGCGGAAGTGGAAGTGGAGGAGCGGAAGGGCGGGGCGTCGAGGGGAGGGGTCACGCCCATAGCAACGGGGTGGAGCCACGCCCATAGCAACGGGGTGGAGCCACGCCCATAGCAACGGGGCGGAGCCACGCCCATAGCAACGGGCCCCCAGGGCGGCGGGCCGGGCTGCGTCCCCAGGCCGTAACGCGGGGCCTCCCCTCCCCCCCCCCGCTCCGAGCGGCCTTTAATGAGTCACCTTCGTTAATATTGCAGTGCAGATCGATGGATGCGGGGGGGGGGGGGGCCGTTAATTACCTGCAGGGGGGTAATTACCGCCTGGGGGTGGAATGGAGCTCGGTTAGGGGTGCGCCGAGGGGGGAATGGGGGAGGTTGTGGGAAACGGCGCAAAAAATGTGGGGAAAATGGGGCAGGAAGGGGGGAATGGTTGGGAAGAAAAGGGTGGAGGGGAGGGGAAAGAGGGGAGAGGGATTGGGGAGAAAAGGAGGAGGAAGAAAGAGGAGAGATGGGGAAAATGAGGAGATGGTGGGGAGAAGGGGAGGAAATGGAGGAGAAAGGGGAAAAATGGAGGAGAAAGGGAAAAAAGGGGGGAAAAGGAGCAAAACCCGAGGAAAAGGAGAGAGAAAAAGGAGGAGGAAAAGAAAAGGTGACGGAAAAGGGGAAAAATGAGGGAAAAGGAGAAAAGATGGGGAAAAAGTGGAGGAAAAAAAAGGAAAATGAAAAAAGGTGGAAAAAAGGTGAAGAGGGGAGAAAAAGGGGAAAATGTGGAATAGGAAGAGGGTGGGAGGGGGGAAAGCAGGAGAACGAATGGAGAGAGGGAGAAAAGATGGAAGAGGAGAGAAAATGGGGGGAAAAGGAGAAAAAACGGGAAAAATGAGAGAAAAAATGAGGAAATATTGGAGAACTGGAGAAAATATGGAGGAGATGAGAAAATATTGGGGATAAATGAGGAAATGTTGGGGGAAAGAGAAAATGCTGGGGGAGAAGAAATGGTGGGGAAGAAGAGGAAATATTGGAGAAGGAGAAAGAAAATGGAGGAAAAAGGGGAAATGGTGGAGAAGAAGAGGAAATATTGGGGCAGAAAAGAGAATAAAGAGGAAAAAGAGGAAAGATGGAGGAAACCATTGGGAAAGAAGGGAAAATGGAGGAGGAGAAGAGAAAACGTTGGAGATGAAAAGGATTTGTAGGGGAAGAAGAGAAACTATTGGGGAAAAACGATCATAGGGGGAAAAGAGAAAATATGGGGGAGGAAGAGAAACTATTGGGAAAGAGGAGAGAATATGGAGTGAAAAGAGAAAATATTGGGGGAGAAAATGTTGGAGAAGAAAAGAATATGGAATAAAAAGAGAAAATATTGGGGAGGAAAAGAGAACATAGGAGGAAGAGAGAAAATATCGGAGGAGAAGAGAAAACGTTGGAGAAGAAAACAGAATATAGAGGGGAAAGGTAAAACATTGGAAAGAAGAGAAAATACTGGAGAGGAAAAGAGAATATGGAGTAAAAAGAGAAAATATTGGGGAGGAAAAGAGAACATAGGAGGAAGAGAGAAAATAATTGGAGGAGAAGAGAAAACGTTGGGGAAAAAGGCAAATTTTGGAGGAGGAATAATGGAGAAGAAGAGGAAACGTCGGGGAAGAGAAGAGAGGAGAAGAAGAGGAACGGATGGAGGAGAAGAGAGGGAAGATGGAGGCAGCCGTGTGGGCGCGTGCCAAGGGAGGAGGGCAGGGGGGGGCAGGGCGGCCCCACATCCCCAACCTGCCGTCGCTGCCCCCCGCCCGCCGCGGGCATGCAGGGCATGGAGCTGTGCGCCGTGGCCGTCGTCATCCTCCTCTTCATCGCCGTCCTGAAGCAGTTCGGCATCCTGGAGCCCATCTCCGTGGAAGGTAACCCCGGTTCCCCCCCTTCCCCCTTTCCTTCCCCCAGAGGTGGGTTTTGGGGCGCCCGCCCCACGCCGTGTGTTTGCGGGATGCTCTGTGCCTCGGATGCGTGGGTTTTTGGGGCGGTTCTTTGGATCTCCGTGGTGGAAGGCGGAGGTTTTGGGGCGTCCCTTTGTGCCGTGTCACGGCCCGGCTCTCAGCCGTGGGCTGTTGGGGGGCTCTGAGCCCAGCTTCGCCCCTGAGACGCACGGAGCGGAGCCCCGAACCCACAGGGACCCCTGAGACCCCCGTGATGGACCTCCGTACCCAAAAGCCGCACACGGGGGTCCACGGCATTTATCCCCCCTCCCCGTTTCCATCCCATCTTCCCCGTCCCGAAGTTCTTCCCTGCTCGACGCTGAGCTGCTCCGCAGGGGCTGAAAACATTAATGGCCATCATTTATTAATTACCTTCCGGCAGCACGGATGGCCGGGGCGGGAGCGGCCGGAGGATGCGATGCGGGTGGGGACCTGGGCAGGGGCTGCTGGAGATGATCTGCAACGTTCCAGAATGCTTTGGGATGTGCTGGGCGCTCGGGGATGACGGGAGACTCTCGGGGAAGCTTTGGGATGCTGAGATTCTCCAGGATCCTGCACGACGATCCGGGATTCGCCAGGACGCTCCGAGATGCTCTTGGGGATGCTCTGGGAAGCTGCAGGATGCTTGGGGTCAATCTGAGATCCTCCAGGATGCTCCGGGATGCTGCAGGACACTCGGGGATGCTCTAAGATGCTCCGGGATGCTCAGGGTTACGTAGGGAAGCACGGGGATGCTCCAGGATGCTCCAGGATACTTGGAGATGTTTTGGAGATGCTCCAGGATGCTCGGGGAATGCTTTGGGATGCTCAGAGATGCCACAAGATGCTTTGGGACGCTCCAGGATGCCGCAGTGTGGTTGGGGATGCTGTGGGGTGCTTTGGAATGGTCAGGGATGCTTTGGGATGCTCTGGAATGCTGCGGGATGGTGCAGAATGCTGCGGGATGCTCAGGGATGCTCCAGGATGCTCAGGAATGCTTTGTGATGCTCAGGGATGCTTTGAAATGCTCCAGGATGCTCAGAGATGCTCCAGGATGCTCAGGAATGCTTTGAGATGCTCCAGGATGCTCAGAGATGCTCCAGGATGCTCAGGGATGCTTTGAGATGCTCCAGGATGCTCAGGGATGCTTTGAGATGCTCCGAGATGCTGCACGGCGCTTTGGGGTTGTTGCAGGGTGCTCCAGGATGCTGCAGTACGGTTGGAGATGCTCTAAGATGCTCAGGGACGCTTTGGGACGCTCCGAGGTGCTCCAGAATGCTGCAGGATGCTCGAGGATGCTTTGGGATGCCAAGGGGAGCTCCAGAACGTTTCGGGGTGTCTGGGGATGCTCTGACATGATTGGGGATGCTTCAGGATGCTGCAGGACGCTTGGGGATGCTCTGAGATGCTCAGGGATGCTCCAGGATGCTGCTCGATTCTTTGGGATGCTCAGGATGCTGTGGGATGCCCGGAGCTCCGGAATGTTTCAGGGTACCTGGCGATGCTCGGGGAGGTTCTGAGATGCTCCAGGATCGCATCCAGGACCAGCAGCTCCCAGGAACCCCCCCAAGTGCAGACGGAGCCGTTTCCTCCCTCACTCGGGTCACGAAACCCGGAGTTTGCAACGGCTGCAGCCACCGGGGGAGCTCCGTATGGCGACAGGGGAAGCCGCCGGGTTCGGGGGATTCCCGTTGTGTTTCCGAGCACTGCCAGGTCCTGGCTGAGGCTCCCACAGCGCTCCTGGAGGGACAGCCCCATCCCGGAGGTCCCGGTGCCCCTCTGCTCCCCCCCAATAAAAGGTGACACGCCGTCACCCCCCGCAGACACCAGTGACGGCGACGTGGAGCTCTCGGCAGCCCGGCACCAACCCGAGGGGCTGGAGGAGCTGCAGGCACACACCAAGTTCACCAAGAAGGAGCTGCAGTCCCTCTACCGTGGCTTCAAGAACGTGAGCAGGGCGGGTTGGGGGCCTCCCCTCGCTTTTGGGGACACCCCCCTGGCGGGGCTCCCCGTGGCCATCGCTCCGTCCTCCCCCAGGACTGTCCCAGCGGCCACGTGGACGAGGAGACCTTCACGCTCATCTACGCGCAGTTCTTCCCGCAGGGAGGTGAGCCGGGGGTGCATCACCCCCCCCTTTAAAAAGCATCGCCCAACCCCCAAAAACAGCCCCCCAGAAACACCCCGACCCCACGAGATGCTCCCTATCTGCCCCCTCCCCAGATTCCAGCGCCTACGCTCACTTCTTGTTCAACGCCTTCGATGCGGACGGCAGCGGGGCGCTCTGCTTCGAGGTGAGCGCTGCCGGGGGGGCACCGGGGGGGAGGTGGGGGTGCTCGGCCCAATGCCAGCCATGTGAGTCATCAGATAGCGCTGCTGGCACGAGGGGGAGGCGCTCAGGAAGGGGCTGTGCGTGGATTTTGGTACAGCGCCCCCCCCCCCAAAAAAAAAAAAACCCAACCCGAACCTCCTGAATGCCCCCCAAGTGCTGCTGCAGGCTCAGGGCTGCGCGATGCTGCGGCACGGCCGGGCTGCAGCCATTAAAAATAGATGGGAGCCGGAATAGAAACGGGATCGATAGGAGAAGGGCCCGTGGTCAACAGCCACGCCGCAGTGCTCTGTGGGGTCCAGGCGGGGTCGCGGCAGCTCCGTATGAAACGGGGGCTGCTCACCATCGCTGTCCTGCCCACCGCCCCCCCCGGCAGGACTTTGTCGTCGGGCTGTCCGTCCTGCTGCGGGGCACGGCGCAGGAGAAGCTGAACTGGGCTTTCAACCTCTACGACATCAATAAGGACGGCCGCATCACCAAGGAGGTGCCCTGGGGGACGTCTGGAAGGGGGCAGGGGGCGCCCTTGGGTCGGGGGGGGGAGGGGAGGGTTCTCCTTGTCAGCCCAGTTCTGTCTGCTCCCAGGAGATGCTGGAGATCATGAAATCCATTTATGATATGATGGGCCGCTGCACCCTGCCTGCCCCGCGGGACAGCGCGCCTGCAGAGCACGTGGAGCAGTTCTTCCAGGTGAGACTCCAGCACAGCACGGGGACGGGGTGGGGATGGGGATGGAGAGAGGGATGGGGATGGAGATGGGAAAGGGGATGGGGGCAGGGATGGGGTGGAGAGGGAGGTGGGGATGGGGATGGGGACAGGAACAGGGATGGGGATGGAGGGGGAAGTGGGGATGGGAACAGGGATGGGGATGGAGAGGGGGATGAGGATGGAGATGGGGGCAGGGATGGGGATGGAGAAGGAGGTGGGGATGGGGACAGGAACAGGGATGGGGATGGAGAGGGGGATGAGGATGGAGATGGGAAAGGGGATGGGGGCAGAGATGGGGTGGAGAGGGAGGTGGGGATGGGGATGGGGACAGGAACAGGGATGGGGATGGAGTGGGAAGTGGGGATGGGAACAGGGATGGGGATGGAGAGGGGGGCAGGGATGGGGATGGAAAAGGAGGTGGGGATGGGGACAGGAACAGGGATGGGGATGGAGAGGGGGATGAGGATGGAGATGGGAAAGGGGATGGGGGCAGAGATGGGGATGGAGAGTGAGGTGGGGATGGGGATGGAGAGGGGAATGGGGATGGAGATGGGGGCAGGAATGGGGATGGAGATGGAGGTGAGGATGGGGATGGGGATGGAAATAGGGGTGGGGATGGAGAGAGAGGTGGGGATGGGAACAGGGATGGGGACATCCGTGCTGAGCTCTGCCCCTGCAGAAGATGGACAGGAATGGGGACGGCGTGGTGACCTACGAGGAGTTCCTGGAGACGTGCCAGCAGGTGACCCCGCCAGCACTGACTTTGGGCTCACCCCCTTCCTCCCCCTTCCCATCCTGGTACCCAAAGCGATGTCAGGATGGGTTCGGGGACCCTTCCATGGGTGCCCCCTCCCCCTATGGGCACCTGTGACGCATCCGTGTCCCCCGGCAGGATGCGGACATCATGAGCTCCATGCAGATCTTTGAGAACACCATTTAGAGCACAGGGATCCCAGGATGGCCGTGGTGGGACACGGCGTGAGAGATGTTGCAAATGAAGAGGAACCCTTAATAATGAGAAGAAGAACCTCAATAATGAGAAGAAGAACCTCAATAATGAGGAGAAACCCTTAAGAAGAAGGATGACGTGGCCAGCTTGCACACTGGACCCCCCCTGGCAGTTCATTTTGGGGCAGATCTCCCCAGAAATGGGTCACTGCCCCAGAGGTGACCCAGCACAAGGTGGACATTATGGGATGGATGCGACACTGATGGATGGGGGCTGAGATTTGCTGTTCTGTTCTTTTTTCCCCTCAATAAAGCACCCGGCCATGATGTGGGGATCCCACAGCGCTTCGGCCCTCCGCCACCTCGGCACCTGGGGCCGCATCTCCCCCAAAACGGGGCGGGCGAGGCGGCACCGGGGGCGGCGGTGAGGGAGGAGGAGCAGGAAGAGGCCCGGCCCCGCATGGCGGACGGCCGTTACCATGGCGACCAGGTTCCGCCACGCAGTCCTCGCTACGGCACTGCGCATGCGTGGAAACCAGAGTGCACAAGCGTGCCCCGCGCATGCGCATCTCCCGTTTCGCTACCTGCGTATGCGCAGGCCCGCACCTCGCCCTTTGGGCATGCGCGTCTTCCCGCAGCGTCCCTCCGCGCATGCGCACTCCCTCGCGCCGCCACCCCCGCTCATCATGGCCGCCGCCGGCCGTTGCTGAGGCGTCTCCGTCACTTCTTCCTCCCCACATGGAGGGCGGCGATGGGCTCTCTGAGCAGCCGGCTGCTGAGGCGGCGGGGCGGCCCCTCGCTCGTAGACGGGGCGGTGGGGGAGGGAGGCCGAGGCGGCGGGGGACGTCGGGGAGGAAAGAGAAAGCGGGGAGGGGGCGAAGGACCCGGTGACAGCGAGAGCGAGAGCGACAGCGAGCGGGACGAGCGGCTCCACAGCGCCCCCCGCAGGTCTGGGGCTGAAGGGGGAGCGGTCATGGGCGTGCTGGGGGGCTGTGGGGTGGGTGGGGGGTCTGGGGCCTAAATGAGGCCTGTAGGAGGGATCTGGGCTGTGCTAGTTGGGGTTTGGGTCTGACTGAGGCCTGTTTAGGGGGCTCTGAGCCTCTCTGGGGGGACCTGGGATGTTCTGCATGGGACTGGAGCCTGTTAGAGGGGGTGTGGGTCTGTTTGGGGAGTTTTGGGACGAGGTGGGGGGGTGTGGGGCCTTTTTTATTGGGATCTGTGGCCTTTTTATTGGGATCTGTGGCCTCTTTGGGGGGATCGGGGCATGCTGGCAGGCCTGGAGACTGATAAAGGAGATCTAGGATGTACTGGGGGGGGCTGGGGACCCTTGGAGGGGGGGCTGGGTCTGTCTGGAGAGCTCTGGACATGTTGAAGGGGTGTGGGGCCTGTTTGAGGCCTTTTTATGGGGATCTGGGGCCTGTTTGGGGGGGGCTCTTGGATGTAGAGGGGAGCTTGGGGTCTGATTGAGGCCTATTTAGGGAGGTCTGGGGTGTGTTGGGAAGGTCTGGAAGCTGTATGAGGGGATGTGGGGCATGCTGGGGGGCCTGGAGCCTGTTAGAGGGAATCTGGGATGTACTGGGGGGGTCTGGGCTTGTTAGGGGGGATCTGGGATGTTCTGGGTGGGACTGGAACCTGTTAGAGGGGGGCTGGGTCTGTTTGAGGCCTTTTTTATGGGGTTTTGGGATGTGCTGGAGGAGTCTTGGCCTGTTTGAGGGGATCTGGAGCTGTTTGAGGGGGGCTGGGTCTGTTTGGGAAAGGGTCTGTGGCATGTTGTGGGGGCTTGGGGCCTGGTTGTAGGAATCTGGGATGTGCTGGGGGGGGGGGGAAGCTGGGGTCTGATTGAGGCCCATGTCTGGGGTCTGGGGCACGTTGGGAAGATTTGGGACCTGTTTCAAAGGATCGCAGGCCAGTTTGAGGGGGTCTGGGATGTGCTGGGGGATCTGGGGCTGTTAGAGGGCGTCTGGGCCTGTTTGGGGAGGTCTGTCTGGTGGGGGTGTGGGGTGCGTTTGAGGCCCGCTGGGGGCCGTTTGGGGCCATTTTGGGGAGGTTGGGGCTTATTGGAAGGAGTTTGGGACGCTGTGTGGGGCCTGGGGCATTTTGGGGGGCTCTGGGGGCTGCTGGTCATGTGGGAACTCATCTGGGGGCACCGGGGGGTAAGGGTGGGGAAGGAGGGATCCGACTGCTCTGGGGAGAAGAACCCCTTTTTGCCGAGGGTTTTTTGTGTTTTTTTTGTGTGACGTTTGAAAGCAGCATCTCTGTCACCCTTCTCACGTAGGAAAAAGCTGAAAAGCACCTCCATGTATATTTACCAGACTCTGTTTCTGAACGGAGAAAACAGCGACATCAAAATCTGCGCTCTGGGAGAGGAGTGGAACTTGCACAAAGTGTACCTGCGGCAGGTGGGTGCCGCCAGCAGGAGCTGCGCTGCCCCTCACAACACCTCACGTCTTCTCCTTTCGCCTCCCGTTTCCCACCCATGGGTGCCAGAGCAGAACCGACGCGGAGCTCAGGGCCGCGGTGCCACACAAACCCTTTATTTTTCTGATCTCTCAGGTAGACGTCAGTGGGTGATGCATCTCCCTGTGTGCACATCCACTGCTGGGGAGGAAAGTCGTGGCTCCTAGCAGAGCAGCGCATTTCGCTCCGCTTGGACGGAAACCTTTCACCCTCTAGTTTAAAATACCTTGCCCTGAAGGTATATTTCCATCGGTGGTGTCTGTGTACGTGTCCTTGGTGCGAGGCTGCCACCTTGTACATCAATTTCTATGTCTTGCATGCTGGTTTTTTCCCTCTGATACCCAAAGCGGGTTCCCTGATGCCCACAGGATTTGTGGCCCGCTGGTGTCGTTAAGGATGCAGCTCCTGGACTCATTGTACCCCAATGCTGGTGGGGCTGGGAGGAAAGCAGCTGGCGCCGCTCTTCTGGCCCTGCTGGGCTCTTGTGTTTGGTTGCAGAGGCGCAGTTCAGATTCTCTGGGTGCATTTTCAGGCACAAACTGAGCACACGTAGGCCTTTCTCAGCGCACCAGGGTGCCCTGCACGCTGCCTGTTCTCTGTGTGAAGGGGAACGCCGACAACCTTCAGCTCCACGCGCAGCTGCCCGTGCTTCTCATTCGAGTGCCGTTTCCAACTCGACCTCCTTCTCTCTCCTCTGCCCTCCTGCAGTCAGGATACTTCTCCAGCATGTTTAGCGGTTCCTGGAAGGAATCCTGCATGGACACCATCGAGCTGGAGATCCCCGACCAGAACATTGACATAGAGGGTGAGTGGAGCCCGCGGGGAGTCGTCTCAGCTCCTGGCAGCCGGGCGCTGAGCGCTGTGCTGCTCTTCCAGCCCTGCAGGTGGCGTTCGGCTCGCTGTACCGAGATGACGTGCTGATAAAACCCGGCCGAGTTGTTGCCCTGCTGGCGGCCGCCTGCATGCTGCAGCTGGTGAGTGGGCAGCGGGGCCTTTCCTGCCTTCCTGCAGCGAGGAGAGCGAAGCAGCAGAACGCGGCGCCGTGTTGGAAAACGGCTGGGCTGCGGTGGCGACGTGGAAGTTGTCAGCTGTGTGTGGAAGCGGTGCTGGAGCAGCTCGGTGTTTGTCTGCCCTGGCGCTGCTGATGGGTTTTGGGGGAGCTCAAGAGCGGCCTGGCTGCTCGCTGCCGGCAGAGCGGAGGTCGCCGTGGCGCCAGCCGTCGCCGCAGGGTGACGATGAGCTGTGCTGCATCTCCCCCTTCCTGCTCGGAGCGCGAAACCCAGTGTTTCTGCTTGTTTCTTTTCCCCCCTTCCCTTTCTGCAGGATGGCCTGATCCTGCAGTGCGGGGAAACGATGAAGGAAACCATCAGTGCCAAAACCGTGTGCAGTTATTACAACTCGGCGGGGACGTACGGCTTGGACTCGGTGAAGAAAAGGTGAGGCAGCGTCCTGCAGGATGCTCCCTGCACAGCACGGCAGGACCCCAGTGAGCAGCAACTCCTCGTCACTTCAAGCTGTCCGCCTCGAGCTCTGTGCCCCTGATCTGCTGACATCCCCAGGGAAAAAGGAAGGCACTGACTGCTTGCTTTTAACCCAGGTGCCTCGAGTGGCTCCTGAACAACCTGATGACTCACCAGAGCGTGGAGCTCTTCAAAGAACTCAGGTATTCGTCCTTCAGTTTGCAGCCACGTTTGGTGCCTTTCTGGTGCTGGCTGTTGATGGATTGTGCGGATTCCCGACTCTTCCTTCTCTCCCTGAACCCCCGTGATCATTACTTTACTCCTTTTCAGCATCAACCTCATGAAGCAGCTGATCAGCTCTTCTAACCTCTTTGTGATGCAAGTGGAGATGGATCTGTACACTGCCCTCAAGAAGGTACCTGGCACGGGGCGCCGACCCGCTGCTCCCCAGGCGCTGCTGTGTGAAGCAGCAAGTTGGAGCCCCGTGAAATGTGCTGTGAGCACTTGGTGCAGGATGGGGAACGGTGGGGTGTGATGGAGACGTGGCTTTAATAACACACCTATGGCTCGTGGGAGAAGCGATCTGCCAGGCTGACTGGGGTCTGTCTGTGTTACCTAGTGGATGTTCCTGCAGCTGGTGCCTTCCTGGAACGGGCCTCTGAAGCAGCTCTTAGCACAAGCTGATGCCTGGTTTGCTGAGCGAAGGAGAGGTAGGGACCAGGGATGGGCCTTGGGATCCAGGGGAGGTGGCAATTTTCATCTCCAGGCTTCCTTGTGTTTTCTGGGGATGGTTGGGTTGGAATGGAGCTCAGAGGACATGGAACCATAGGATGGTTGGGTTGGAATGGAGCTCAGAGGACATGGAAACGTGGGATGGTTGGGTTGGAATGGAGCGCAGAGGACATGGAAACGTGGGATGGTTGGGTTGGAATGGAGCTCAGAGGACATGGAACCATAGGATGGTTGGGTTGGAATGGAGCGCAGAGGACATGGAAACGTGGGATGGTTGGGTTGGAATGGAGCTTCTGCTGAAAGGATTTGGAAGTGCGCGTCATCTTTGACATGGAGCCACCGCAGAGTGGTGAACGAAAAGCTGCACCTCACATACAGACAGGGTCTGTAGCAGAATGGTGTGTACAGCTGTGCTGTCATAGAACCATCGAATCACCAAGGTTGGAAAAGGCCTCAGAGCTCCTCCAGTCCAACCGCTCAGCCGTCACCAGCAGCTCCCACTGAGCCACGTC